AAAAAAAAAAAAAAAAAAAATATCAAAATACGATTTTCAATATATATAATACAAACTTATTTTTAAGATGTAATATATGTATAAACCTGTTAATTTTACCGTAGTACATGATGATAGTAAGGCTTATTGGGTTTCAATCACGGATAGAGATTTATATGCATCATCAGAAGCTTGTTTTGCTGCAAGAATAGCACTATATCGAAAAACTTCATATTCCGGAGTGGTGAAAGGTTTTTCTTTTTTATGTGTGCAAGATAAAAGTTACTGAACTAACTGAAGTGCTGTAATAGATAATCGATCAAATTCAATAGTACACAATGATATAATTGATGCCGTATCAACCAATAACTCTAAGTAACTTGCTTATATTTGTTCTAAATTTATTATGAATTTATTTGGTTAATTACATTGTAATATTTGACTATATTATTTTGATTGTAAAAAAAATCATAACACAATAAATCATATGATCCTTAAGTTTGAAATTTTATTTGCTTATTTTCATAGAATTTTTGATATCAGGTGTCAATAACGCGTAGCGCTCTTATAAAAAAACCCTTGTGTAGAGCTAATATCTTAAATCATATGGATAATCAACTATTTCTCCTTGTTCATTACAGTAATCAAAGCTAATTTTATAATAATCAAATATAACTCCGATTATGAAAACTTCAGTTTTAGACCATATACGTTGATCAATTATAGGTTTTTCATGTCCATGAAAATATGTTGAAGCATGATGATAAAGCCCACCCATACTTCTTTGAACATCGTCATACCTAAGAAAATTTTGGTGACATGCTCGCTCTACAGTATCAATAAAAGTTTTATCTTGAGATAATAATTTAAGAGCTTTATCATATGGTTCATGAAATGAAATTGATTTACTTTTCGCTAAAATCTATTACAAAAACAAAAAAAAATTCTATTAACGTATAAAATCAGACAATAATAAATAAATAAATAATATAGAATTCTGTTACCTGAGCTCTTACAAATTCCAGAGTTCCGCGTACGTTAAGTAAATTTTCTTTTTGAGTAATTAACTTATCTTTATCTTTAATAATACTATTAAGTGTAGCCATTTCATTTGACATCTTTTGGTACTTATTTTCAAATATATCAATAATCTCCTGAATTAGAGTTGATAATATTTCTTTCTCCCAATCAGCGAAAATTTCTTTTTTTTCTTTATTCCAGTCGTTCAATTTTTTATCCAACATATCTGAATTTATTAAAATTTTATCAAATAATTTGATCATTTTATCATTTTGTGATATAATTAATTGAGCGGCTGTTTGATCTGGTCTTTCAAAATAATTATATAGACCTTTCTCGATCGCTTTATAAATTGAGCGTGTTTGCTGAAAGTTCTAAGGATAATAATTTATTATAATTAATATACAGTACAATAACTTTCAGGATTTAAGAATATATAAAATATGATTAATTAGCTTAATACCAAAATTACAGGTGACTTGAACTTTTGAGATAAAATTGCATTTGATTCTTTAAACGCGTTAAAAGTATATTTTCCAATACTTTCAGATATACTAGTGCGTGTTGACTAAAAATTTTACAAATAATTGATTAGTACAATTATTATTAAAAAAAAGTTTCGAATAATATCAGATATATAATATAATTAGCTTACTTGACTATATGGCTAAGTATTTTACAAATTATAATTAATACAATTAATATACAAAAATTTCAAGAAATTAAAATATGATTAATTAAACCTACCAAGATTACAGAAGGTGTCTTCATTTTAATTGCATCAAGTAAGTGATTATTATATACTAGCTAAAATTTTACAAAATATAATTAATATAATTCATATAAAAATATATAAAGTATAATTATTAACTTACTTGACTAGATGGAAAATCATTAAATGAACTAAAAGAAATTTTTCCAATACTTTTAAAATTACTGGTACATTGTGGCTAAAAATTTTACAAATTATAATTAATAAAATTACAATCAATATCTGATATACAAAAATTTCAAGAAATTAAGAATATATAAAATATTGATTAGCTCACCAAGATTACAGAAGGCGTCTTGAGCAAATTGGTATGAGAACTAAAGGTCTTTTTAATTGTTTCAAGTAAGTTATCAATTATGTACTAACTAATATTTTACAAATTAGAATATATAAAGTATAATTATTAGCTTACTTGACTTGATGGAAAAATATTAAACGAATTAAAAGTATTTTCTCCGATACTTTTAGTTAATGTAAAATTCCTATTACAATGTGGCTAAAAGTATTACAAATTATAATCAATACAATTAATATACAAAATTTCAAGAAATTAAGAATAAATAAAATATAATTAATTAGCTTACCAAAATTACAGAAGGTACCTTGGGTAAAATAGTATGAGGACTAAAGGGCTCCCTTCTAATTGTACCAAATAAGTAATCATTATGTATTAACTAAAAATTTTACAAATTATAATTAGTACAGTTTATATAACTAATATATAAGATAAAATTTATTAATTAAAATTGCAAAAGATACATTGAATCTATGAGATGAAATACTAATGTTATTTCTAGTCAATGGTGAGGGCTAAAATTTAACAAAATATATTTAATATCCTGTATAGAAATTTATATATAATCACTCAATCTAGTAGTTACCGAAGTTAATCTTTTTGGAGGAAATCTTGCAACTAGGATTCTTGTAAAAGATGACATTATTAAAGAACTTTATCTGTGTGTTGATTGAGAGGCAAAATTATTTTTAACAAGAATACTTGAAAATATAAAATTAAAAGAAAGGATTTTTATAGTTTTTTTAATAATAAGAATATCATAGTAATAAGAAATTATATACTTATTTAATTATATATTTATTTAATAATAAAAAATTCTAATTTTGAATTTTTCTAATAATAAAAACATCCACATATATTTAATAATGTTTCTTTATATATTTATTCAATAATGAGAATTTCTGAATTGATATTTCTAATAATCATATTTCCCTAAGTAATAGGTCAATCTCTGCATCTGATTTTAATAGTGAGAATATCTATATATAGTTAATAATAATAATAAAATGTTTATACTTATTTAATAATATATTTATTTAATAATAAAATTTTCTAATTTTAATAGTGAGAATATCTGTATATAGTTAATAATAATAATAAAATATTTATACTTATTTAATGATATATTTATTTGATAATAAAAATTTCTAATTTTACATTTTTCTAATAATAAAATCATCCCATATATTTAATAATGTTTATTTAGTAATATATTTAATCAATAATGAATCGATATTTCATATTTATTTATAAATATTATTATTATATTTCTATAAAAAGGTTTAAATTAATTTTATAATTAAATATACTTATACTAAAAAATTGGAAAATCAAATTTTAAATATCCTTTAAATAAACTGTTATGTCATTCTTCCGCAATCAATGGATGATGAATACAATTTTTAATCAGTTATCAAACTTGACGTAATTAAGGTATAATAAATATATTTAGATGTTAACTCTGCCAAATTTTTAAGGATATATATAGTTTTTTTAACAAAAAAAAATGTCTAATGCTAATATTTCCTAAATTATCAATTATGATACTAATAATAGTTTAATTGCCCGCTTACCCATGGAATAACAGTATTTAACAGGCAAAGGTTAGATACTCAAGGTTAATATAAAAAAATTTGTAAATAATTATAATAAATTTTATCACAATATAATCACAATATACATATTTTATTATAAATTTCGCGATATTAATATCAAAGTCATGTTTATAAACCAACCATACTTATTTATTCTCGTGATAATCTGATTTTATTCTGACTCTGGCCAGTTTGGCTTGCATTAAGTAAACAGCGTATCACCTGATTAGTTTCGATCATTGATTTTATTGAATTTTTAAATTTTTTTTTTAATTATTGGTAAGAGAAGTTTTACATAAATATTAAATGCTTCCTTTTTATTATTTTATTATTTTTACGAAAACTTATTCCTAAACTATTTATTAACTTATTCCTTTACAAAGCTATTTATTAATATACCATATTCATCGGAAAATAAGCAACCCCTCGAAAATAAGCAACATGGGCGGAATTATGGCATTTTTTGGCCCGCATTACTAAATCTTGGCCTGCATTACGTGCAAAAGTTGTTGCTTATTTTCGGATGAATACGGTACTATTGCTGCAGTCCTGCGATAGGACCGTTTGGTTGTGATACGGTATGGTGCTATGCGCAATTTTCATGTCAGAATCCATATGAGAAAGTACAAGATTTTCAAAATGTGGTAAATCAATTTTTTGGAAAACAAGATTTTTTTGTCAGAAATAAATTGATCAAAATTTGAAATCAAATACTATTATTTAAAAAAAAACAACAAAAATACAATAAAGTTTACTTCGCACAAGTTAAACTAACTGAATTAAATAAAGTAATTATTTTTTATTATATTAACTAAACCAAAAAAAATAAATTATTTCCAATGATTGGTATATATTTAGGGGTGGCAACGGTCGGTCATGGTCAGTCATCGGTCGGTCATAACCGGTCAAGAACCTTTGACCGACCGACCGACCGTTGACTAACCGGTTAACCGACCGTTTGACCGACCAGTTAACTGATCCTGAAAACGTTTGCGAAATGTATTTAATTGAAATACTTAATAAAAAATGTTTTCGCAACGTTTTCTATTAAAATAATTAAAAAAACGTTTGCGAAACATTTTTTTTATTAAACAAGTTAACATTAAACATGGCAGGGAGCTATAGTCATAGTATAATTAGAACTATAATAATTCTGACTTTTTTTTAATTAAGTTGGTTTATACTACCATACAGTATCATAATTATGATAAATAGTTTTTAAGATTTAAAGAGAATTTCTAAATTTTAACTGGTGGAAAAATTACTGGTAGATCATGTGATTGTGTATTAAATATCTATGTGATTTATTATGATGATGCAATTTCATTTGGCTCGCTTCGCTCGCCGGGTTTTTCTAGCCAAACCATAACTTTCACTTTATTTGCAAAATTTTTTATTATATTTAACATATCTATAAAAAAAAATTTGAGAAAATTACTCTTAACTAGCTATTAACATAATTTTTTTCTCATTTGGTAAAGGATGATCATTTTCGGTTTATTTTGCTTGTTAATCATTTTTGGCTTAGTTATTTCACTTGTTAATCATTTTAAGGTTAATTATCTTGATTGTTGTTTATTTTTTGGTTCAAAAATAAAAAAATATATATATCAGAATATGTGATTAACTTTAAATAATAATACAGAAAGATTGTTTATTACTTGATAAAGCATTATTTAAAATTTACTATCATCATTTTGGAATTATAGCTCTGGAAAAAAAATTTTCATGATTACATTGTAATAAAACAATTCTACTATCCGATTGTTGATCATTTTTAGTTCTGAAAAAATTACGATAACTGAACATCATAATAATAAGACAATGATAATTAAATTTTACCATTTGGTTGTTGTTTATTGTTTTGTTTCAAAATAAAAAATTACTTGATATAACATTTATTTAAATTTTATCCATCCAATTGTTGAGAAAAAAAAAATTTTATGATAACATTGTAATAAATCAACAATTATATTATCCGATTGTTAATCATTTTTAGAATTACTATCCTGAAAAAATTTTCATGATAGCATTATAACAATAATGAGATGATGATAATGAAAATTTACCATTCGATTGTTGTTTATTTTTTGGTTTAAAATAAAAAAAATATGTATCTATATTTAAATAAGTAATACAAACAAATTGTTTATTTACATAATATTAAAATTTGTCATCCGGTTGTTGATCATTTTGATTTGCTAAAAATTTTATCCCACAATTTTTAAGCAAGAAAGAACATTCTATAAAAGTGCAATATCACCTTATGGGTGGGTGGGTGGCACGTCACGTTATTGTAATGACTTGAAATGATTGACATGTCATGATAGGTTAACGTTAACTTAACATTAACATAAGATTAGTTTTTGGGTGATTTCCATTTTAAGATGCTGATCCCCATCTTTGGTATTGATTTGCTGATTATATAAATACATTTCAAATCAAGCTTTTCTATTTTAGTATGATCGGCAACCAACAAATCTTTTAGTGTTTTAATTACATTTCGCAAACGTTTTTAGGATCAGTTAAACGGTCGGTCAAATGGTCGGTCAGAGGTCTTTGACCGACTGATATCAGTCACGGTCATGACCGGTCATAACCGGTTAATGACCGTGACCGTTGTTAACAGGTCCGTCTCAGACTCTGTCAACTATAACTAAACGTTAGGGAGTCAATAGCTATAACGTAGTTTATATCAGCAAGTCACTCAAAAACACAATACGTAAAATATAACACAATCACAGTTCATTTTTAATATAAGAGTTTATTAAATAGTTAATACAAGTTAATCCCTAACTTATACTATCTATTTTCTATCTATCTGACACACTGACACACACTTTAATTTAAGAAAAA